TTTTTTTTTTTTTCCAACATCAATTATATTAATAACTTAAAATCTCGAAAGAGTACACCCGAAGTGTCAAATGACACACTGGAACCAGAAGACTGGACCAACCCCCTCGTCATCACACACAAGGGGTACAAACTCCATCAAGGAGGCAAACAACCACAATACAAAAACAAAACACAAACTCCATAAAAGGAGAGAAAAGCTGACAAAGCTGCACTGAAAGCAGACATAGCTGCACTAAACAAAACAAACCAACAAAATAAAAACAAAATACAACTCACACCTAATAAACAAATAAAATAAGACCTCCCCTAATCCAAGCAGGTGAGCTAAACGACAACCGAACCGACTCCCGAGTGATTCAAGAGTAATCGTAGGTAATACCTTTCACCTTCAATTGGATTTGCAGAATTTATTCGGCCAATGACATTTTGTTTTATTCTTTTTTTCCAAAACTTCTGGTATTTGTCCCATACATAATGTTGTGGGAAATCCCGGTAAAGATATTGTCGAGCTTCTTCATTCTCCGAGCAAAAAGAAAAAAATTCCGTAAGCATTGTTTTGGAAGAATTATCAAAACTTAGAATCTTTTCCAAATTTTGATATTTCCAATAACTTATGCAGTGCTGATTTGGTAAATGAAGAGGCAAATTGATAACCGCTGGGCAAATTTCATTGAGATTAAATTCAAATATTCTCCAGGCAGCTTCTTGGGCTGACACCCATCGAGCATCTTGAAATTGTTTTATTTCATCAACTGATTTGTCATTGTTATCGTGAGATATTCCAACAGCCACACGATCATGACCCTTGTATATATACTTGTATAAGTATTTAACAACAGTTATTCCTGAACATATCTCCACATTAATATGACAATTGTACCTTGACAAGAGATACGGACTATAAGGCACCACCCATTGGTTGTCAAGTTCTGCATTGCGAACTTTAACTTTTAATCCATTTTGCCTTCTTCTGTAAACCGGATATCCATCTTTACCCTGTGTTGTGGTATCACAAAATTTTCGTGGATAATGATATTTGCACTTCCCATCGATCATGCAAGAATTGTTCTTATTTATATCTCCACATGGTCCATGCATCATATGTTTGACAACTAATGCAAATAACTCTGGATCTTCTGTTTCTGATGGAAGTTCAGCGCAAACAAATTTGTCAAAGTGATCAGGAGTGGCAATTTTATATGTTGATTTGAGAATTATCAACATATGAGCATGAGGTAACCCTCTTTTTTGAAATTCAATGACATGAACATGTGCAACAACCTCTCCGAAAATCTGCTTCTTGAATAGTTGACCTTTTAAATCCTGCAACTTTGCACGAAATACTCTTGAGACTAAATCTGGGCGATCTTGAGGTAGTTGTCCCTCAAAAAGTTTATCTTTTATCTCTTGCCACTCAGGATTGCAAGTCATTGTAATAAATAAATCAGGTTTTCCAAACTTTTGAACTAACGCTAATGCATCGAGATATCTACGACGCATGTCTCTTGGCCCTCCAATAAATGATGATGGTAGAACAATTCTTTTTCCAACTTCACTGCCTCTACATTCTCCACTCTGGACACTTTCTTTTATGCCTTGGTACAATTCACATCTCATGTCCGATTGATTATGCCGATAATAATCCAATCTTGTTGTCTCTAATTTTATGTACATGTCAACCAGATACTGTTGGAACAACCTTCCACTAAAGAGAATTACAGATTCCCTTGGACTTCTTATTTGAATTCTATAGCAATTGTATTCTCTGCATGAAACTTTTCTATTACTTTGACTGCTGACCACTGCAAAAATTTTAGTAATAATATTAGAATTAGTGTAAAATGTGTCATTGTTTTAAAATTATGTAAATTAAATTTATTAATATATGACTATATATGAGTTGAATTTTATAAGTAATGAATTTATGTATACTAATATATTGGCTTTTATATTTGTACAATGCATTTAGTAAAATGTATACTACCATTTATGTTGTAATTATATAAATTGGCTTAAAAAAATTTCATTTATTAGTCTTTTTTATCTAATTTAATTTATACATAAAAATATAAATAATTTAAAATAGTTAAGTTTGATTTTAATGTCAAAAAGTAGATTATAAAATTAATATTAAACCTTAATGTTACCTAAAAAAATATTTTTTTTCAAAATATTCTAATAATTTATTATTATGTGTAGTATATATGTCAATAATCTTAACAAAACATGGAAAAATATTTTAATATATGGAGTTTTGGTTATTATGTGATTACATGCATTATATTTGGAATGTACAGATAATTAAGTTAAGAAAATAGAAACATACCTTGTTGCTCTCGAGAGAGAACATCAGTTGCCGACGAAATTGTTGATGGTATGAGTTCACTATGAACATTTGAATGCCTCCCTATAAGTAATTTAGTTAAATTAACATATGAGAAGTTGAATAATTTTTTAATAAAACATTTAAAATAAATAATATGAGTTAAACTACTTTATTTATAATAGATATAGTAATACTCTATTTACCTCTGCGTTTGATATGGGAGTTTGTAGTTGGAAGTTTGTTAATGTTTTGATGCCATCCTGTCTCGCCTCTTGGAAAAAGAAGAGGATATTGTAAAGGATCGTAACATCCATAAAAATGTTTTATCCTATGGCGATCTCCAGAGTGGGCATGGATAACAATGTCATGTTGGAATGGTAGGTTGGCATTATTTCCTTCGACCCATATAGCGGCAACTTGCTCCGCAGTTGGAGAATTATAAACCCGTTGATCCAGTTTTGTATCTTTTGAGATTTGTATCTTTTGAGATATGGATTTTAACATCATCCATTGAAGGATAGTCCTTCAACCTTCTAAATATTTTTGCATATGGGTTAAGGTCTAAAATCTTGATGAGTTTGGCTACAGTAGCTTCGTTTAAACTGCACTTTTCAAAAATATTCGTCCTGTTTTTTATCTCATTTTCCGTCTCGACGAAATATAATTGAAAATAACCAGGAGTGCCATCCTTGGGTATTAATCCGGGAAGATCATGATAAACCATTCCTTGTGCTCGAAAAGTATATACTCCTCGACGTGAAGACGCAAGTTGTTTATCAAGTTTAACTCCAAATGAGGTGAAGGAAAATATACAATTAAAAGGACGAATATTTGATCGAAAATGAGTAGCTTCTTCTGTTTGAGAAGTAAACAACTGATATAACTCGTCAGGAACTTGAATGGGCGCTAATTTAACTTTTTCGTTATCACAACAAAACGTTGGAGGTTCATACTCAAATCTAACAGCATCACAATACACACAGTTAGGCATATTCTTTACTCTATGAATCTCTGAACATATTGCTGGCAATTTGTTTGAACCTAAAGGAAAAATAAATAAATTACATATATATTGTATTAATTTAAATGAATGAAGTAATATTAATTAATTTTTAATAGATATATTATTAATACCTTGTGATTGACATTGACTTTGATCTTTCATCAGAAGACAAGTTTGGGAAGTTTGTTTCTTCTTACGTTTCTTCACTGTATCAATGTATTCTTGTCTTTGTGTGACATTAAGATTAGCATATTTTCTTTTCATCTTCTCACGGTTCCTTTTTCTGTATACATCTTTCACTGTATATTAAAATATATTGAACTAATTAGTTGATAACATAGTTGGTAAAATTAATAAAATTAAATCAAAAGTAATAATGTAAAAAGGAAAAAAAAATTACCTGATGATGATATGCATGATGTTGATGGTGTTTGTTGCGTTTTCATAGTTCATGAGGTTTTAAATAGTCTGTAAATAAAAAAAATGGAAGAAATATTCATAGGCACACACCAAATAGTTATGAATGTGCAAAGATTAATGTTTGACTACAAAGATGAGTATTTCGCCATAAAATTATATGATTAACTAACAGGGTCATTTTACAATTGCATATTCAAACAATGAAAAGTAAAGGTCATCTTACACTTGCATATAGAAACAATGGAAAGCAATTATATTATAAACAGGAAAATAGTAATATTTGTTTGAAAAAATATTCAAACAATGGAAACAATGGAAAGCAATTATATGATAAACAGAAAAATAATAATATTTGTTTGAAAAACTTAAATTAAATGATTTGAGAGTGAAAGTGCATGTTTCCCTGTCCGCCAATGTGGAAAGATAAATGTTTTACTCCAAAGATGAATATTTGGCCATAAAATTATATGATTAACTAACATGGTAATTTTACAATTTCATATTGAAACAATGGAAAGTAAAGGTTATCTTAGACTTGCGTATAGAAACAATGGAAAGCAATTATATTGTACACAGGAAAAACCATAATATTTGTTGAAAAAATTTTATGTAAACAACATGAAAACTCATAATATTTTATTTAAAAAAAAAATACATGTAAAGAACTATTAATAAATCAATGATTGACTTCAATGAAGAGCATTTTGAAGAAGGCAAAATTAATGTAAGATGAACGAAAAAAAAAAAAAATAATTATAGCCAAAAGTAGAAGAAAAAACTCACCCGTTCCTCTGTCGTTTGGAAAAATGGAGATGATCTGAGAGTGAAAGCGCCTGTTTCCCCACCTGATTCGCTCTCTATTCCTTCTTCCTTAATTCAATCGCGATTTGAAAGAAAATTCAGATCTCACGTGAAATGGAAAAAAAGGAAAAAATAACAGAGCAAGGATTAATGAGACTAATTGAGATGAATTTGTGAATGTATAATATAATAGGTGGATAGATGGATAACCAAAGAGGAAACGTTAGGAATTTAAAAAGACAACTTCAAAAGTATTATTTTGCCATTACAAACAATTACAAATTTTTTTCTTACAGAGGGTATTTTAGTCTACAGGTTTTTTACAGAAATATTCACACTTTTAGGTTAGTAGAGATAGAGATTACTCACCTGAGAAAATCTGATTACATAGTACAAAGAAGATATGTTTTTACCTTAGTCATGTCACCTTTAACTAATTTCACCACCCCCAATTGAAAATATTGCAGAGGAACAATACAAGGAGATATTTTGGTATTACGCTCTGCTAGCATGCGGATACATAGTGTTGTCAAGAAAGCACATCTTGGCCTCGTGACAACATTGGCATTCTCAATAGACTCGAGGTCTATATTATCTCTTACATATCCATTCAGATAGCTATCGTGTGCCTTAACTATGATTAAAATTATTTGCTTCCGAACAGAGCCTTGGTATCTGCATCACTAGATTCGAGTGCAAGGGTGACAATGATCAGGGAGAAGAAAAAAGATGGTATGAATTTTTTAACTTGCATATGAGGTGGTCAAATTATATATTATCTTTATGATTTCACTAATTAATAGTATTTGTTAATAACTAATGAAGGGGTCAACCCTTGGTGAAAAGTGTTTGTTGTTTGCTCATATTTTCATTCATTCCATTTGATTCTGCAGAATCAAGCTTGTGGACTGCCCTTTTGATCATCTTATTCGCGATGGCTGTGTACTATGCCAAAACTGGAAGTTTTCTTCCTCTGCAGAAGTGATTTTGCAATGGAATCATGGAGCCTGTTTCGCAATTTTGAGATTGCTTATTGCCTAAAAGCTGTTTGTCAAAGAAAATCTATTTTCAGTATATTAGCAATATTATGAGACTAGAAAATGTATGAACCCTGATCATTTGGTGACATTCAATAATTGATGTCACATTCCAGTAGCAGTATTAAAAAGTGATCAGTATTTACAAATTTATAGTCATCCACAAGTTGATCTATTGCTCAGGAGTTGATTTCATGTTTTCTTCATCTGTTGATATCAAATCTTTGTATATACCATCAACAAACAATATCTACTCGGAAAACTTGCGGTGATTAGCAGCATCTATTCTAAACTTTGATCAGACACTATTTCGAAGCACTTGGTAACAGTAATTCTTGAATAGTTACAAATTCTGAACTTCCAAGTAAAAAATCGAGCTCAATGTAAATGCACGTCATCGGCGCTTCCTATGGTACAGTGAATACCCAAGAAATGCAGACATTAAAAATGTCCAAAGTACCTACAGCAAAACATGAATTTGATTAAGAAACTGCTTTTCCAGAAAATCAATGGTCTGCTTTCAATTTAACCCAAAAATTAAAAAATAAAAAATAAATAAACGGATGAAGAGAACTTCAAGTGAAAGAGTCCAGAGAGAATACGGTGTTAACTGCGTGCCATCTCTCGAGACGTTTAATCCTCGATTGCATTTCTTCAATAACACCTTCAAGCGGGCAAGCTTCTCTAGTTGGTGATGATTCTGAAGCCGAGCGGCTGCTACCCTGTACACAAACATAATATATCAGGACAAAAGAGAAAATACAAGATTAACTTCGAAAATGGAAAAGGAAAAAGAAAAGAAAAAGAAAGATAACAAAAATGTGTTGGTCTTCAGTTTTAGCTTTTTCTATATATTTTTTTGCTCGTTCAATTCCTTTCCTGATCTCTGTTGCAATAATCCAACTCTCAGATTTGAGATCAGAAGTACTTAACACAAGTGGAACAAATTAATCGAAACATAACTAGATATGAATCAGAACTTCAGTTTTTTTATGCAGATAACAAGCAGCCAACTACGCAAGAATGGATAAATTAAAATAATATACCTGAGATTGTATGTATTCCATTAGTTCTTGCAACCTTGCAGCTTGTCGAGTATGAATTCCACTTGAATTCCTCTCCACAGCAGGTAATATTTCCTGAATTATCTGAAGATAACTCTGAGAAAGAGATAAAGAGAGAGAGGGAGAGAGTTAACAAGCAGCAATTGGAAAACCATCAACAGGAAAATATATGTAGAACACAATCATGAGGAACCTTTGTGGTATATGAACCATCAAGCTTAAGAATCGAGCCAGCAGCTACCACTGTTTCTTTGTTTGCCCCCTTAATTTGAAGGTAAGAATTCGGGACATCTTGTAAATGATCAATCTCGACGAGAATCTACAAAAACAGATGAAATTTGTAAATGTGACGCCTTTTTAATATAAATGCCAAGCATCACAAAGAGAAAACCGTCTTCAAATAGTTGAGTAAAAACCAGCATGCATCCTGGGCAGAGTATGCAAAAAAAAAAAAGAAAAGAAAATAAAAATACCTTTCCATTTTGGTAAATATAAGCAGATGCTTCAATATACGCCACCGCTTGATACCTAAAATTATCAAAGATACGACACATAAAACCTATTAAAGGTGGAAAAGCAACTTCAAGATCTTTACAGCACGTAAAATCCAGGAACTCATTCCGGTTTAAAATTTCTTGAAGAAAACAAAAATACAAATCAGGTAGTCAAGACCTTTTCATGTGAAATAAGGAAAAACTTTCATGTAAGATTTCTATACACGAAAGTAACAACTAAAGAATCAGCACCCTGAACAATAAAAGGTAATTATAACTCCATGGAGAGATCGTATGGAAAATTTCTAAAGATGGCATATAACGAGCCTAAAGAAAATGTGCACAAAGATACAGAAGAAAGTGAAAAAAGTATTTGAAGCACCATCATGTTTTTCACAATATTTGAACATACCCAAGATTAAGAAGGCCGGCTACTGTACTGATGCTGATATCAAAGTCCACTTTAGGCTGGATAATGAAGTTTCCTTCTGTAATAGGCTTCACGAGGGTCGAGGTGTGTGGGTTTTTCAAATTCATATCAATAACTTTCTCGAAGAAAATGCAAAATAAAAGAAAATAAAAAGAAATAATTTGGGTCCAGTCCATAAATCTACCTCTCTGATCAGTAGGGCAAATCTACCCTCACATATTCTCACTCTTATACAATCACCCTCAGTCAGCTGTCCATTAGCAGGTATTCCAGAAAGTCTTAGATATATGTCGATGAAACTCTGAACTGAACTACATATCTTGGCTGGATCAAGAATTTTTAGGATATCTTGATAGGCAACCTGCCAATGGAATTATATAGCCCATCAAATTGAAAAATCCATCATGTAAAAAATTAATGCAGAGGAGAAGAAAGAACCAAACTCACTTGCTTATTACTTTTCAACACAAACAAAGAGCTCTCTGGTGAAAGAACAGGATCAAAGTCATTCCTGATCTTCAGCTGAATCAGTGTGAAGGCTCTTCAGATCGTAATCAAAATAATGCAGAACAACTCATTTACATTTTAAAAAAAAAGAAAAAAGAAAAAAAGAAAAAAAAAACCTATGATGTAGCAAAATTTGGAGTTATATGGTCAAATTCAATGAAAAACTAACATGGGCCTCAACAAGATGTGGTTCGATGTGTTGCTGGAACATTGGAAACACAGTCATCATAATTTCATTTTGGGACATGATGCATCCGACTCTACTTTTGTCTCTTTGAACCCGAGAAAGAAGATGTGAATGGACCCCTCCAACCTGCGACGAGAAATTTGTTGCTTAACCAAGGTGGCAAATTTGAGCCAAAAGGAAGTGTATAGTATTGAAGTAATTTATTTGATGGGTTCAAATGGCTTCATCATACTTACAACAGCAATCCACAAGTCCAGATGTTTTCTGATGTCAGGATGCAAAGCGTAAATGCCTTCAAAAATTACCTGGTCAAAAGTGCAGTTTCCTTAGAAAAATTAAAAAATAAAAATAAAAATCAGATAAGGATTACTTGAACAGAAATTAAGAAACAATGTTTCTTCAAGGAAACATTTCAGTAGAAGGCAGCATTCTTCTTCTTTTTTCCCCTTCTCTTTGTCTTAGCTTAATTTTTCAAATACTCCATTCAGGTCTTGAATTTTGAGTCTTTCTCATCACCGCCCAAATATTGCTTCTATCTCAAGCCAGGGCCTTATTTTTTCTTTTGTTTTTCATTAGGGGAAATTATATGCGGCTCCATTTGATATTTTGTTTGTTTGTTTTTTTTTTTTCTTAAAAGAACATAATTTGTTTCCCTGATTGAGGATTAAAAATAAAATTTGAATCTTGATTAAAGAGAATAATACAACTTAAGCCACATCGAGACAAATGAACATGATTTAGGTTTCTATATGCATCTTCCGAATTTTTCATGTCTGCCATATGAATCATTAACTCTCCTCCAGCATTATAGATTTTTTTCTATGAGCATATTTTCTTCATTAGTAAGCATGTGAACAAACAAATTTATCTGATAAGGTGGTGAGCATACCACTCCGCAATCTTCAGATACTTCCAACTCTTTGAAACCACTCCTTGCACCAGTCTCAAGATCGAATACGGGCACTTTTGTTCTTCGACAATTTTTTATGTCATCAATGTTCTACAATATTCGGAATCAGAATGACAACATAGTTAAAGGATGAAAAAGATACTAGTATCAGGAGCCAAGGAGGTAAGATCGAACTCATCAGTCCATGCTAAGATAAATCGGTATGCTTTCAAGACTTCTGATATTGAAACAACTTCAATGCCATGAATGGAAGTTAAGAGACAAATATAATGGCCAAGAAGTACTGCAAGCTACTTATAAGATATGATATCAGCAATACAAGCTTATCTACTGCCCCTCAACAAACTTCCACTGCTGTTTATATTATCTCTCCCCATGAGTAATAAGAAGATTATATATGCCACAGAAACTTCCAAAAATGCAAAAATAAAAATAAAAGAACAAACTTCCATCTCTCCTCGCCTGATGCAATTTTCAACGTGGTTTAGAATATATTACCATGAAAACAACCATATACGGAATTGCAAACTCCTTTAACTAGAAACTAACAATTGTCCTAAATTCAGAAAGGATATATCCTGATGAACCTATCATGGTTGGTGGCGTTGGACAATCACTACAAAATCATTTGATGAAGTATGTAAACGTAGATAACATAAAATCATGGACAAGAAAATGAAAATAAAATTGAAAATAGAAAATGCATACTTTAGATAGTAAAGCCAGATCAAGAGAGCTGAAATCATCGTGCTTAAAATCCTTCATTTGTTCAGATCGGTAGTAACTTTCAAGGGATATGACTTCACAACCAACTATGTTTGCCATCTTACGAGCCAAACTTGTTTTTCCTGATCCACTCGGACCGCCTAAATAAAGATCATGAGAACAATTGAAAATAACTGGAGTCAATTTCAAAAGTCAAAACTGCAAGGATTTTGCTAATAACATATCAGAGGGCTTCAAATAAGAAACATAATAGTTACAAAAACTAAACATTCACACAAAGCTAATGAATACACTCTGTGTAAACCCAAAGAGACAAAAAAAAAAGCTGTGTGGTTACTGGTACTACTCATTATCAACAACCATAAAACATGCATGTTCAAGAAAACGATGACCAACAGCAAAGTATTGCATCCTAAAGCACAAAATAGCGGCAACAGCCAGACCAGCTCTGCCACAAAGATTAATTCGCCCAATAATCAGAGGCCACAATGCCATATTGCTCTATAATCCACATATGAGATTGCTGCATTTACTGAAAGAAAATCAGAAGCCCATATTCATTTAAGCAAAATATCAAAAAAATCAAGCTTCAAGGTTTTCCTTAAAAGTAAAAAGAGGAAACTATAGTGTAGGAAGCATGCCAAAACGGGCGGCGATAAATGAAATTACAACATGATAAAACCAATTAAAAATATGAATTATTATAGCTCAATTATGCTATGCCAATGTAATCAGGTACGAGCTAAAGTTCCTCCACATATTATCTGGCTCCTAAAAATAGATTAGACACATCTGACTCTAATAGTTTAAGTAATAAGATAAGGTTAGCCTAGTGTGTAAGCACAACAATGAATCACGTTTTCACTACTCTGCTTCAAGATAAATTGTTTGTCTAAATGAGAATTTTGAAAAAAATCAAATAAAAAAAAATATCTTCACTAACAGCCTATAACTCAGAAGTTCTGTCTCATCTGAGTATGTAATTGTTCCTTAGAGGTGGCTATACACGTTTTTCTTCAACACGCTTCAGTAAAACTGAATTGCTGCAAGAAGAGATCACTATTGAGAGAGAAAGGGAGAGGGAGTTCATCTCACCAATTCCAACTATGACAGGGAGTCCCTTATTTTCCAACAACGCCTGCAGCAATAGTCATAAACATACAAGATTGGTCCATAAAGATTTCGGCTTACGACTCAAACTCCAACATTAATCACTTTTCAAACAATATTTACTTGTATTGCTTGCACGGCCAGAAGCAATCCTCTGTCCAAGTCATACGAGTCTGGCATGGGGGCAAGCTGCAGGGCATCCCTGGAAGACGAGGGACCTGTGGTGGTTTCATGAGAAGAATTGGGTGCCATTCGGAACGTGATTTTTGCTCAGTACCAGCGGAAGAGACGTACCAGAGTCTGATGCATCGTATAAAAGAGGATCTGTCGGGATAAATTGCCATGTCATGGAGACAGGTTCCATTTTGGACTTGGTTGGTGAACGGGTCCATGGCTGAGATAGGTCCTCTATCCGGTTGACCAGGTTCGAGGCTATGCGGAGGGGCTTTGGGGCTGCAATCACCCTTTCCTGACAGCTGGCAGCAGATGTACTAGATAAAGGTGGAGGAGTGTTAAGCCTTGGGACCCCTGTAAGACACAGAATAAGTGACATAAACTTGATTAGAAGACATTAAAAGCTGATTTAGAACTCAGGGCTTAAGTTTTCAATATTCCACTCTGAGGCTCAAGTTCTATTTATTGCTTTTATTCAAGTCAGGAATTCGGTTTTGTTTTCAACACTCAGTTCAACGCAAAAATACGAATAAAAACTCACATGGAGCCCAAATTGAGAAACAGAAGCCAAAAGTTAGAACCCCAATTAACATGCATATTTAAAACTGTACCCTGATTTAAAGAAGAAAAAAAAATAATCCCAGCCCCTAAATGAGAATTTTGAAAAGTTGAGCCCCAAATTGAGAGAAGAAACGAATTTTCTATACTTAAATCATCACATTAACTACATTTAATTTCAAAACATCAGCCTGAAGGAGTTTCAAATAGTGACCACATAACATTGATGAGTTACGCATACACTGAGGGAAAAAAACTACATTACATATCTGAATGTCAATGAGTGTACATTAATTCTAACCTTGTCTCTCAAGTACCATTTCCAGATATGATTTAGTGATCCATGGTCCAGTTATACCCATCCTTGATGATTCAGTCCCAACTATCTACAAAAAATATAAACTACGTCAAACATAAATTCAACTCCACAATTGTCTAGGTTGTTGAGAGACAGCTAGTCAGCTACTATGTATGCCAAGTAGAGCTAGAAAAAGCACGATGGTGAACATAGTAGCTAAAGTTAAACAATAAAACACAGGAATTAGAAATAACTCATATAATAGTGACAGATGAGCTCATGTTGACCACAAATATTTAGGGTCAGGGAACAAAAATATAGACAATATGACATGACTGACCACTAGGAACAATGATATTACTAGGTTGGCAACAAAAACTAAAATTGAGGTACATAGAATAGAAGGAATGTATAAAATTATGAGAGTCTTAAAAGACAGCAACAAGTTAGAGCATGTTTGTTTATAGAATATTTTGGTTTGGTTTGGTTAATTTTGAAAAAGTGGTATGGTTAGTGGTTAGTGGGTATATTAAAATAATATTTAAAATAAAATAATTAAAATTGACGTGATGTAAAAGTAGGAGAGAGATGATTTGAAGTGATGGTTAGTTAAAATAATGTGAGTGGATGAATAGTGAATTAAGGTTGATGTGGTGTGTATGAATGATTGATTGATATTATTTAATTATTTTCATTATATTGATGATAGTGAGGTTGAGTTAAAGTTGAGTTAAAAAAGGTGATTGAGTTTTAATGTTGGAAAATTTTTGAAAAAATACTATAAACAAACATGCTCTTAGTTCCACAAAGATAGGTTTTACCCCATCAGTACAATAAGAGCTAATATAATAATTATAGGAACCATTCTAATGATGGCACAACTTAAGAGGTAAGAGAGCCATGTTTAACAGTAGGAGTTGCACACTTACAAGAAGAGCTTATGAGCATAATTCGAACGTATGTGTCCTGATACCAAATGCAATCATTTTTCAGACAGTAATAGTAGGTCCACTATGTATGTGAAAACAAAGACAGAGCAGCATTAAAGTATCCAGATAATACCATTATGAATATTTATCTATTAGCATGTAGCAGCAATTTTGACAAAATCTTCCATAAAGTAAAGAAACGCTGAAAACATGATACAGACAAATCGAAGGTTCGTTTTGTCATAAATATTGAGAAAAATAGAGTTTTGGGTGCAATTGGATATACATTATTTTGAAAAAAAAAATGTTTGAATGGAAAAACTGATTTAAATATTGAAATTCTTTTTGTTGCGAAAGTGAAATATTTTTTAGATTGTGAATGGATGAGATAAAAGATAACGATTAAGGTTGATGTGCGAGAAAAATAATAAAATAATGAATGTAAATGATTGATAGTTAAGAATATGAGTGGATGAATAGTGAATTCGGTTGGAAATGTGTAGTATTGGTTATTTTTATTAATTCATTGTATTAATAAGATTGAGGAAAGAAAAGTGGGAGTAAATGAATAGAATTATTAAAAAAAAACTGTATCCAGTGACAGATCAAGTGAAAACAAAAATCCGGCGAGACGAAACTGGAAAAAACTTGTATCCAAATTAACAGGAAAAAAAATGAGTTGGTAAACACTTATAAAAAACGCAAAATTCATCTCTGTTAAAAGTTCTGGAAATGAATATTGCTGAGAGAAAGAAATAAGAGTCCATACTTTTCTATTTGTACCCCTGAGTACCAAATAGGTCTCTCCCAGAGTATCAATTGTTTCCAAAGACACTGAAAGATTGCCAGCAATAACTGAGGTGGATGCTCGTTTATAACTTACTACCACAGTATAACCTAAATCCAGTAAACCACCCAGGGTCAACCGCCCAACCTGATACAAAGAAAAATAAAAGGAAAATAAGGAAAAACAGATATTTGTCCATAGGGTGGCACAAAGTTCCAGTAACAGAGGCTTTACAGAACATTCAGAGAGNAAAAAAAAAAAAAAAAAAAGGGAAGAAGAAGAAGAAGAAGAAAGAAAAAATCTAAATAAATTAGTGATTTTAGGAACACAAAACTCTTTTTACTTATGGAGAGTAATTTGGAAATGTCTTATAGTTATACCTCAAATTCGGCTCTTGGTCGGATGATGAAATTTTTATCCACGATCCTCTGATCACCCAGGGAGAGATAATATTTGATACCTGATTGCCGCACCTTGATCCAATCATTTATTCGTGCTTCTTCACTAGCAGAAGGCGGTCTCAAGTACATCTCGATAAAACTTGAAGCAAAAATCCACAAGCTCAGATTCTACTAGACATAAAGAGAAAGTGCCAAATTGAAAATGGCAATAGACCGTTTTGATGGACTGCTCAAGCAATGAGGTATGACCGACTGGACAACTTACTTGTCGACTTGGGCATCCTGTCCGTGAAAAATGTATTCAGCATGCTCACTTAATGACTGTCACACAGTCATTTCCAAATTAGGAAGGTTCCGAGAAATAAATCAAAGTATCAAACAACTTTAGATAACTTACCTCACTTCTGCATTTTAGCTTGTAAATTGGCTCTCTAAATGACGAAACAAAACTGTTGTTTATTCTGATCTATAGAAAAAAAAAAAAGGGCAATCAACAATAAAAGAAATGTCGTTACTGAAAGTCAGGACATGTAAGAGCTGAATGCCAACCTGTGCATGATGAAGGTCTGGCTCAATATGCTTTCTGAAGAGTGGGAAAATGCTGTCAATGAGGTAGTCCAACGAACATGACTCCCCAATATCATATTGCACTTTGGAAAGCAAGCTAAAATGAACGCCCCCAACCTTGGTTCCCCATTAACATATGAATTCGATCAAACCACTTAAAGAATTCATTATGAACAAAGACCAACTAACCAGAATGTGAATGAAAAGTTTACCACTGCGACTCGTATATCCAGCAGAGATCGTAGTTTTGCGTGAAGGGCATAAGTGCCATCGACTATAACCTATGATGTAACGAGGATAATCAAATCAGAAGATTAATAACAAGTTGAGTGTAACACTAACAACAAACAGACTTACCACTCCGCCTGAAATGCTCTTTATAAGATTAGAACCAACACGTTTTCTCCCTTGAAAATTGAATAGCGGGCTCAATGTGTCACGGCCATTTATCAAGTCCTGCAAACATCTCAGTTAATGAATGCATATTCGTTCCTCGAATCATGATTTTATCAGTATACTCATAAAATAGTCGACTTATCATACTCGAGATCTGTAAATGTCTAAAATCTTATTTTATGCTATCCTACACCATATACATTAAAAAAAATCTTCCAGCAATCTATCATATCATCCTTCATTATTATCAGTCAATACTATAAATGAAAAGAACTCAGGCATAAGATCTCACCAGAACATCTGAAAATATTCTACTACAACTTTGCATACATTGATAAAAAATGATGTCAAAAAGTACAGAGACATCAAGTGGTATAGTAAAACCAATCTAAAATGAAATCACATTTGTTCTGTTTGCGATACCGAAAGATTTAAATCCAGTTCATACACCAAAAATAAAGGGAAAAAATGAGTGAGTTATATGACAAGGTATCTCATAAGAAGAAAAGCACAGAAAACACCACACCTCGAGATTTTTCACAAGGAAGTCAAAATCAATTGAATCTAAATCCTGTCCATCATCGATTCCAGTGCGATAGTTCTCCATTGAGATAACAGTGCAACCAATCACAGACGCCACTTTTTCAGCTAAGCTTCAAGAAAAATAACATTCACATTTGAGTATAGAAACTCTCCAAAACAGATAATGCTAAAAATAGCTTAGCCTTGAACAATCCATATTGACATACAAGAAGCTGAAACTATGTGAACTGGACAATCACCTTGATTTTCCTGATCCAATTGGACCTCCGATTCCTATGATGACAACCCCATCTTTCTTTGACCTTAGTTCTTGAATAGATTTCACCAGCAAGTAATATCCATGATCAAAAGACTGCATGATGCGGAAAATCAATTATCCTTGTATAATCATAAAGGGTACTAAACGCCATTTTCAGAGCTAATCCCCAAAGCAGAAATCCCATGCCCCGATCTTAAAATAAAGAATAATCACACACACACACACAAACACACACACACACACACACACACAGACAGACAGATTCTGCCTTCCTCTGAAGGTAATATTGGTACAACACCTCACCTAAAGATGCATCTCAGATACCCGTCCCAAACTTGAAATGTAAACCCAGCGAAGTGATTGGACTATTAAAGATTCAACACAGAATCAACACAGAAGCCACAAATAAACAGACTACACCAAAGAAAAAACCATCGAATCATTCTTTTGCCCCAAGAAAACTCCAACTTCAATCATTCACAACAATAAGCTCGTCCACGATCAAACCACGTGAAAACAAAATGGAACACACACTCATGCATCTTCAAACTCCTCACACATCCCCAAGGTCAAGAAAACAAAAAACTCCAAGAATCAGCCCATTTGCCAATTTGAAACTGAAAAACAAAATACTTAAACTTTTAGGGGAAAATAATTTACCACATGTAAGGGAAGAGACTGGAGAATGGATGATGAAGAAGAGGAAGACGTTGATGGCTGCTGTTGATACAAATCACGCCCACCCTCTTGGAGTACACGCTGCACCACCTGATCATCCATCGATGTTTTTGCCGACTCCAAATTCACCGAAAAATTGCAGCTGGGTTTCTTCCCTGCGAAGGGAAAAATCTTTTCTGTTGATATCGACGGAAACTCGACCTTGATAGAATGTTTTGAACTTGAGAGCTCAAAAATTGAATCTCGGCCTTCGCTTTCACTGAGTCTGTCTACAAAGAGTGCGATTACGCTATTTGCTTTCAAGTTTTTTTTTTTTTGTTGTTGTTGTTGTTGTTGTTGTTGAAGGATATTTGCTTTCAAGTTTATATGAACTGTATTGATTGTTTCTCGAGTTTTTATTCTTTTCTTCCCCCTTTCTACTGCAATTTTTCCTTTAATATTGCTGGATTTTAATCATGTGAGATTTATCAGATAATATTTCACTACTATTCAATTCAATTTTACAACATGTGTGTATTTAGTACTTAAAATTAAGTTACATAATTAGCATATTACATTTTTCAAGTTTTTTATATTACTAAAAATAAATGATATAAATATAAATTATTTAATTTACATAATAATCTTTAGATTGTTTGCATAATATCATTTTTGCAAGTTTGACTAATTATGATCAATTATTTAGATAAGACAATATTGGATTTATTATTAATTGTGTAAGGAATTCAAAGGAGTTTGGTTGTGAAAAAAAATTATAATAATAATTAACTAATTTTAATAAAAACTTGTTTAGTGAAAAAAAAGTATATAATTTGAAATAAAAAATTTGAATAAAATAAAATATCATTTAATGTGATTGTATGATTAGCTAATAGTAATTATTATGTAATAAAGTAAATAAACAAATAACTTCATTATTGCAAAATATAATGGAAAATAATTGAAAAATGAAAACAATTACCATTAGTTTTTGACAAACGGCATTTGTATCATTTGGAACTATATATAAAGATATACTTTGGCAAATGTCATTTGTATTATNTACATAGGTGTTCGAATTTATCAAAAATTGCATATTATTAGTTATTAGTTAACAAATTTTAAAAAAAATTAAAGGATCTTATTTATTGAACAAAATTAAAGTAGAAAAAAAAAGTAGACTTTTTTAGGGATTTTCACTCATTATTTATTTTAAATCTAATTTCAAATTTCAATTAAGAAAAATTGAAAAGAATCATTACTTACTCCCGGAAAGGAAACCGATTTTCCTACCAATAAACCGATTTTTTTATCAAACAAATTGATCCGATTTTTTTTTAACCAAATAAAAAAATCATCAATTTTTCCTAAAAATGCAACCGAATTTCTTAATATTGCACCGATTTTTGTACCAAACAAAGTGAATTGGAAATAATTCTAATAGAAATTTTAAATAAATTGTTAATGTTTATGCAGTTGTCTCTTTCCTAAAGAAAATGATATACACTTAACCAAAAAAAAAAAGATATGAACTTACCAAAATCTCGGTAAAACATGGTTAAGAGAAAATATAAGAATCCAAAAATTTCGATGCATTTAAATTTTGAAAAGTTGCACACAATTGTTCCTAAATAATTGGATAAGGTAACTTTAAATATCATTGATGAACCGCTTTTGTTACCAAAAAATGTAGACATAATTTTGAATGTACATCCAGTTTAAATATCAGTTTTATTTTAAAATAAAAATTGCACGTGGTTTTATCTAATTTACACAATTTTTTTAAAGAAAAAATTATTCAATAAGATTGAAAGAATTGGCTAAGAATTATACAACTATTTGCTTCCTAAATTTGTATCCAATTCGCACAGTTTTAAAATTAACTTGTATTTAGAATTGTTTTCATAAATAATTGACACATTTTTTGCATAAGAATCTTCAAATTTGTTACCAAAAAAGATAAGATTTAGATTTATTTTAAAAATAAAATATGATACGAAAAAAATGCGATTCAAATTTTGCCATAAGAATCTCTAAATTTGTTACAAAAAAAAATAGAATTTAGCTTTTGTTACTAAAGATTCAAATGTATTTTTTTGAACTTTTCTTTAATAGTAAGTCAAACATTATATTTATTTGCTCAAACATTCTATTAATTTATTTTTCCAACAACCTCTTTATATGTATATAGATATAGATATAGATATAGATATAGATATAGATATAGATATGCTCATTCACACTGAATTTGACAACTTATTTTGTAAGGAAATTCGGGATAAATGTTGCTTGATTTTTCTCAACAAGAATATATTGGATGCTATTATAGCAAAACTAGTACGTAGCGAATAAATAAATTAAGTCGGCCAGCTAATATCGATTAATAGAAATATAATATATAATATTAATATCTTGCTTTGAATTTTATCATATGATAGTTTAAATTTTAATTTATATGCATATTTTATGATTCTACAAATTTCAGGATTATCTATTTATTTAATAGTACTCTTAATTAATCTTTTTTATCCCTTTTTATTGTTAATAATTTATTACCAAAATATTATTTTCATTCTTAATGTTGAAGTTGGAATTTTTTTTGTAACGTTTTTGAAAATGAAATTTAGTTTGTAGATAAAACCATGTCTCTAAAATGACACCAGTTTAAAATAGAATATGTTGTGTATGTTTTTGTTATTATTTTTGTATGTTTTTATAGTCTTTTTTTGAGTTCATTTGAGCTCGTCTTATAAATTTTACGGTTCATTAGTTTGATTTTGCTCGTTTGCGTGTTTTCGTGTTATTCACATATTTTTTATATTTTTTGTCTACTTTTATATTTTTTTGTAGGAAAATATAGCTTGGATATTTATGTTGGTAACCATTGTCAGAACACGATCAAAATCCACTTGACCAAACCGCACGAGATATGACCACCTGCCGGTCGAAAATTTTATTCACCACGAACCATGAGACCTTCCACGGTCGCGGATTGCTTCTGCCGTTGAAGGTCCGCGGCCGTAGAGGATCTCGCGACCGCGGAAGTCTTGGTCATCCCGACCCGCGAAGCCTTCCACGGCCGCGGAGTGTTTCTGTCCTGGAAGGATCGTTGCTGCGAAGGGCGCAGATTATGCAAATTAATGGCAGGCCTGTCTAGGACGCACCAGTACAGGTTTTCAAATAACAACTCATATAAGATCATGAGGGTCATCTTGGAACACTTAAAGAACGACTTGGGGACCGATTCCAAGGCTCAGGACCACCAAAATTCACTTGTAAATACTTTTTCTTAGGAATTTCTTCGCTTTTCGATTTCTCTCGCGTTTGAATTCTTGAAATATATCGTGTTGGGATTGAACTCTCGTAATTCTTCAATCAAATGTAAGTTTCTATTGTCCGATTATTAATGTCAATGAATGTGGAGTTTCTTACATTTGACTAACTTGAATTTGAATCCAAACATGAAGTAATTCATCCACCTAAGGGTAGGGATTTCATTATTGTCTCGAATTTCTGATTCTTGTTAATCGATGTGGAGTTTCTTACATTTGATTAACTTGAATTTGAATCCAAACATGAAGTAATTCATCCACCTAGGGCTAGGGATTTCATTCTTATCTCGAATTTAGTTGAATGTGTGATTGTTCATATTGTGCGAGTAGTGTGATTCCTAGGGTTAGTCGATTGATCACTTTCTAATCTACTTAAACAATTTGTAGAACTGAAAGGGGATCGATGAGTTGTTCGACCTAGACTCGCATAAGGTAGGCTTGTTCGTAATTATATGGCCTACGTTTTATTTGCTTGCCCAGTTTGTCGTCTATGTTTGCTCTCTTGTTACGGAGAGTTATTAAGCGTAAACATCTAGACTTGTCGAATCACTTAACCGAACAAGAAGTCGTTTAACATAGATTTGGGACTTGATGAGATTTTATAACGCCCTAGACCTTCTTCTCTTTCTCTAATCTTTATTTTTTTTTTTTCCTAGTTGAGATATTTTAGATAATTTACCAAACAAGTCATGATTAGAATGTTTAGGACCCTATTTTCTTTTCGTGTGTGATCGACACCAACTCTAGATTCCAAATCGCTTAAGATAGTCAAATAAAATAAAATTAAAAAAAATTAAGTGTGATTTAATTGAGGGATTTAATTGATTGAAAAAAAAATGGCTGGGAAACAAGACTTGAGAGATTTTTTTTATTGGCTGGACTCTTTAATATACCTACAAGAGTGATTTAATTAAATTACTTGCACATGAAATATTTTCAACAAATTAAATTTGGGCCCAAATCCAATCAGTTATTTTCATGCCAAAATTCAAGACACAACATTACAGTCCTATTTATTAACATCTCCAAGTATGCTTCAAATTGTTGAAAATAAATCATAAAATAATCAAAGCAAAAAAATCCATCCAAATAATAATTAAGTAGAAAAATATAAACGTGTCAATAAATTAAGCGTATAAAAATACACTATTAATATATAAAACATGCACATTTTTCGTCCTGTCATTTGTGATTATTGTGTGTCTGTTATTTTCTTTGTGTCTTTTATTTTTCTCATTTTTTTTTTTTTTATTTTTCCGTGGCTTTGTATGGTTGTTTTGTTTTTGTGCTCCGGGCATTCATTCGAGGAGCTTAATGAACCCAAGTTACTCATTTCCCTCCTCGTACGACTATTTTTCAAATAATGGGTCGATCTATGGCTTGAGGTATTATGACCTGACAATTTTTTATCCAATAACAGCAATAGGATGGCCAGACAAGCACACTATGGCTGGTAGATGCTTAATTGATTCCGAGCGGCATTCTTATGAGTCCTGCGAGGATTCCTCGAATTATAGTGCAAACCTTGACCGGATTTTGATTATTTTGGCATCCCCCGCATCCCGAGAAGAGAATATTGAGGTCGTACATGCTGGATTGAGTGCCCAACTAGAGAACCTAGTTGAGTGCATTCGAGCTAGTATCAAAATTATAATTCCTCTCATGAACTCGTTGTACAAAGTGTCTCTTTGTATGTGGCTAAAGAAGCTTTGGAGTGTAGCAAAAAACTTGTGCTTGTTCTTGCTCGTGTAATAGCCCAAGCAACTCGAGATGAGAAGATTGAAGCTAGATGTGCTCGGTTGAGGGTGCTATTAGAGGTCCTAATAGAGCGCATTCAATCTGCTGGGACACAAATCGATGAGCCTATCATCGACGATCTTTTTCCCCTGCTTGGTGCCCAAACATGTCAGTCAATGCATATGGGCAAGCTTGATGAAGAGAGAGATGCAGTTTCACATGTCAGGAGTGATACCCCAGTGGAGGAGATTCTTGAGCCCGATCGAAAAGTCCTTGAAT